AAACTTTTGGTAATCCATAACTTGAGGAAAAATTATGGATTCCATTAAAACACATCAAGGATCAAGAATTAAACTACCAAGCAAGTTGCAAATAATTCATATAAGTTCATGAAAATTCATATCAACAATTTCAATAACTTAGATAATCACATAAACTAAAACAACTCTTGAAACTTTGACAATTATCATTTATTTGGATGAGAATAAACATTACCATAAAATCAAAATAAAATTTTATGAACAAAAACACTTTGTGGTAATGATTCTAATCCAAAACTGGCCAAAAAACTATTTTTTTTTCCACTAAACAGTCACCACCTCATGGTGAACTGGCAAATTCTAACAAAACGATTTTTCTTGCAAATAGCATCAAGTATAATTGAAAAAAACCTTAGGCTCTGATACCAATGATGGATTGTGAGCATTTTAACAATCCTATGGTGTACATGCAACCCTAGAAACCTTGGATCTATGTCTTACTAAGATACATGCAAATTTGCTTTTCCAAGGTTCTTAACCTAACTAGCATGGCATGGGGAACTTTGAGTCATAATAAGCTAGTAGAGTTACATACCTTTTAGTAGTGGTTGATTGCTTGGAGTTTGAGAGCCTGGCACCAATAATGTGGATGCCTCAAATGGAAGTCACAAATCACCACAAACCTTGAAAACTTGAGACAATAGTAGAACACTTCTAGAAATCGCCACCTTAGTTCTCACACAAAATCTAGTGCAATTTCAAGTGCCAAGGACTCCTTTATATAGTGTGGTGGATTAGGGTTACATCCATGTAAAACCTAATACTCATGATCTTTTATTTCCATGAGATCCATGGGTTAAATCTCCATGGACTATCCATGGACTTACCATGCAAGCCTAGCCCATTCTAAATAAGCATTAGCCCACACTATATAAATACAAGAGTCCATATTTAATTAGTCACACTTTTGATCACTAAATTAATGTTAGATCAATACTAATTAAATAATATGATTTCATATTAATATATTAGAACTTATAATCTATTAATAAATCATAACTTATACTATTCTCAAAAGATTATCCATATAAATTGTTCGGGTGAAGTGCAACCCAAATGGACCATGCCGGGTCGGGTCAAGTACATCTCAAATATAGTTATGGACTTAGACACCTTATCTAACAAATACTCCATCCTTTTGGAGTTGGGCTATGCATTTCTTGTTGACATGTCTAAGATGACATTTCCACAAGCATGCTTTGTCCAAACCGTTGGACGAATCGATATGCAACACATTATTTCCTAAGTTATCTACAATCATCACAATTTCATGTACTCCATTACAAGGCAATGCTTCAAAATAAAGAGTACCATTATAGAAAGCATTTATAGAACCATCTTCATTATTAAACGAAAATCTAAAACCTTGTCTGTAAAAACCATGAAAGGAAATAATATTCCTCGTCATCTCTGACGAGTAGCAACAATTATTCAACTCTAATCCTAACCCATTAGTAAGCATTAAATAATAAATTCCAATCTTGGTGACAGGCGACACTTTCCTATTCCCCATGATCAAGTTCATCTTCCCTTGCTCCATATCCCTACTCCTTCTTAGACCCTAAAAATCAAAACAAATGTGAAAAACACATCATCTGTCAAGGACCCAAGAACTAGCATGTGATGAGTTATTAGATTGAATAGCGTAAATACCAACGAATGTGGGCTTTATCTTCCCATCCTTGATATCTTGCAGATACTTCAGGCAACTTCGTTTCCAGTGACCTTTATCATGTTCGATTTCCAGGACTGGGGTAGCAGCGGTAGTAATGGGTACAACAAACGTGCCTTTTAAACCACTTTCAACAGTTCTTAGTAGGCCTTAAATCTTGCTTAGAGTGACTTCCTCCTTGTTCATATGATAAGTCATTCTGAACTGATCATAACAAGGAGATAACGAGTGTAGGATAATATCAATAGCCAACTCTTCGTCAAAGTTGACATTCAACTTCAGCAAGCGGTCCACATACCTTTGCATCCTTTGAAAGTGGGCCGTGATGGACTCTCCATCCTTCATTTTTTTGTTATCATGGAGGCAATGATTTCGCACCTTTCTTGTCGAGCACTTTGATGGTACCTTTCCATCAAGTCTTGGTGTATCTCGAAAGGCTAAAAGTCATCATAGGACCTCTGAAGCTCAACAATTTCTTCATCAATCTCCTTCAGCTCTTTGTCAAGGACATAATCTTTGTCCTCGTATCTAAGGGCCATCCGTATGTTATGAATCCAATCATTGAAGTTGGACCCATTGAAGATTACCCTCCTACATAAGTTCACGAGGGAAAAAGAGGCAGAAGAGTTGGAGCCAGAAGTGTTGGAGGTTGACATCTGAAAAAAAAAAAAAAACAAGTTAATTAGATAGAAAATCCTTAATATGACACCTAAATTAAATATTAAGGCTAGGACCCAAACACAATAATTCACAATTCAGAAAAGGTTTTCCGTAATCTAATTGCAAATTATTGGAAGGGAGGTAAATGACGATTTACCAGTTTCACCACCCAAAAACAAAATTTTGAAAGAATTTTGTATTATGAAATTGCTAGTTCTTTGAGATTCATTGAACTTTTCAATGACATGTTTTAATCTTGATTATGCGTTTCAAGTTTGTGACTGGGATAACGAGTATCACAAACAAGGTGTGAATAACCATGCAAATGTGCTCGGTACTCTTGATATCATTTATCACCTAATCAACGTGCTGATTAGCCGCACACGCTCCTTTGATCTATGATAAACATCGAGCTACCCTTTTCCACCCTTATTAGTCCCAAATTAGTGTAGCGGTTAGCCACACACGCTCCACTAACGACTTGACAAGGTGCAAAGGGCAATTTCATGGAATAACATCATTTTTATTTTTTCCTAAAGTAACTCAGATTGGAAATTTATAAAAACATTTAGTTACTTTATAAGTTCATTATACTTATTAATGAGGAATTAGTTCTCCTATCCTGTCTGTTCGGCTAACGACCCTCCACCAATCAAGGAAGCGGTGGGTGAGAGTGGACACCTATTCAACCAACATTTTATAGGCAGTTCCCTTATACCCCTCTTATAGACCGACTTCGTGAATGAGGTCTACTAACGGTAAGACTGACTCATCTATATATATATATATATATATATATATATATATATATATATATATATATATATAAGTATTAATCTTTTTACTATTATAATGGTATAACGGTTGAATGTTAAACTTTTAAAACTCTAGGGTTTAGAATTTAAATATTTCATAATCAAAACTTTTTAATCAGTAATTTAAATTCCAAAACTTGAGGGAAAATTTCAAAATCTTTTAGATAAAATGTGAAAACAATTAAATAATCATATAATTAATCCTAATCACAAAATTTTACCTAATCCACTTATATGGCAAGATAATTCAAATTAAATAATACAAATAATTAGTTTATCATATAATCTAGTAACTATCTTAAAATTTAACAATTATCTTTTAATTGGATGGGGATAATCATTACCGTATTATAAAAATCGAATTTAATTATTCAAAACAGTTTTTGGTAATGATCTGAATCCAATTCTAGACAAAATACCGAAAAATTTGCCAACAGACGAGCTGACTCGACGAGTCAAGCACTGGACTCGTCGAGTCCCACAATGGACTCATTGTGTTCATCAGGCAGATTGCAGATCTCGATTAGCTTCAGCTTTGAACAGTTAACCAATGCATCATATAACCGAAAACACCCTAATCTCTGATACCACTGATGGGTTTTGAGCACTACAACAATCCTATGGTTCACATGCAACCCTAATTCTTTGGATCTAGGTTTTCTCAAATTATTAAATTATCCAAAGCATGAACCCTAACTAGCATACAATTTATGAGATTTATACTATAAAGCAACTTAGATGAATACCTCTTTGTTGTAGCTTGCAATCCTTGGCCTTCAAGAGTTTAGTACCTCAAATGTGATACCTCTAATAAGTCACAAACACTAAAAGCAATGGAGGATTATGAGAGAGAGGTTAGGAAGAACTCAAAATCGGCTAGGGTTGCTCTTAGAAGCATAGGGGGGCGATTTTGGGTGTGCTAAGGGATCTATTTATAGTGTAGGATCCTTCGAGTTTTAACCTTGAACCCCTAACTCACTTGATTAGGCCTTAAGCAATCCAATAACCTTTATGATAACCCCTTGGATGAAATCTTCATGGACCCTCACATAGATTTCATCCAACCCTAATCAATACACTACTAGAAAAAAGGCCTTTTACGACGCTCATTGCGCGTCGTAAAACGCTCAGACGACGCGCAAATGCGTGTCAAGGAAGGCCCTGTCATAAAGAGAGACGACGCGCATTTACGACGCGCGGTTACGACACACAATGCGTATCAAGGAAGGCCCCGTCATAAAGGAAGACGACATGCATTCGCGTGTCGTAACCTTACGACGCGCGTGTTAATGACACACAATGCGTATCAAGAAAGCCCCTGTCAAGAAAGGTCATGTCATAAATGAAGATGACATACATTTTTGCGTATCGTAAATTTAAATGTTTAAAAAAAAAATTATATATTTATTAATTTTTAAATTAAATTTTCATTTAATTTCTTATAATAGAAATAAAATACCATATACAAAAAATACAATCCATTGCATAATATAAAATAAATTGCACAAATTATAATGTCATACAAAGAATCATTCAAATGTTAAACAAAAATAATACATTGCTAACATGTGTTATACATTCCTATAAAACTAACAAATAATCATACAACTCTGTTTCTTACTGGAAAGGAATGCCAAACATGATTACAAGTCTCCCTTAATCTTGATTATAATCAAATGTATCTTTAATTCTTTATATAAATGAAGCTTAAATGATGTCTTTAAATAATGAACACAATAAATGTTATAAACCTTTTGAGGCCCCATAACATCAGGATCTGAGTTTTCTATTTCAACTGCAGGACTACCGTTAGTTTAAGGATCACTTTTTGGATGCTTTTTCTTCTGCATACATTAACAAACATGTTAACTTTCAAGAAATATATTTAGTTTTTAGGCTCATAGTGGCATGCATATAGCTAAGGTGAGAGAAAGGTATACATACAGCTAGTAAGACATCCAGACTATCCATAACAGGTGGTTTCAAATTTTCATAATCAACTGCATTGTAAGATAACATGAACACAATAAAGGTAATCAAAGGTTAAAATATTACATATTTACATGTTAAAAGTGTAAAGAAAAGATGATGTGGTTACACAGCTTACCATCAGAATTTAAGAGGTCGCTACTTAATGTGTGTCCTACTTGTGCCATAGAAATCAACTACAATCACCACACACACCGAAAAGGGTCATGTATACAGAAATGGTGGATAGAAGAGAAAGAAGATAAAGCTAAAAAACTACCTGCATTGTAGTAATAAACTCTTTGAAGCCAAGAAAGCCTTGTCGTCTAGAATCTGCAATTGCCCATACCTTAAGAAGTAGTATGAACAGGCGTAGAGAAATAGTTAAGACAGATTGGGATTAAAAGAGTAGAAAAGCAGAAAGAGAACTATAAGCTAACTTCTGTGCCCTTATGAGCACACTTAGCAATCAAATTAATGATCAAAACTTGAGGAGGTAAAACACTATCTAAAAAATAAATAATCATTTATTTAGAGAGTTAAATGCAAAAAATAGTAACATACTCTTATTGATTTGTTCTAAAATCAAGAAATTCCTATGGTTTTGGTCCTAAGAAAGTTGAAATGACTATTTTTCCCTTTTACTTTTAATTAAAAAAATATTAAAACAAATATGAAAAAACATAAAAAAATAAATTAAAAGGGCAAAACAGTCATTTCAAATCTTTCAGGGACCAAAACCAATTTTGTAGTTTTGTCAACAAAAAAAATAGTAATTTTTATCATTTAAAACTTCAATTCAAAAACACTTAACCTCTATTCAGCATCACTTCTAGGTAGAAGGGTAAAATGGTCATTTACTCAATAAATAACCAGTCTATATGTTCATTCATTACTTTCAAGAGACAGATATCATTTATCCATCCAGAAATTTAACAGAAAAAAATTAAAAAAGAAAAAAAAAAAAAAAAAAGGAAGAAAGCTCTTACCTATTATGCAAAGGACCATACCATTAAGCAACAACCATCCCTCATGGCCATTCCTTGAGAAGAATTGATAGATATAATGTGGAGATATTGCCTTGAAAATAGAAGGGTAATGATAGCAGAAAGAGAACTATAAGCTAACTTCTGTGCCCTTATGAGCACACTTAGCAATCAAATTAATGATCAAAACTTGAGGAGGTAAAACACTATCTAAAAAATAAATAATCATTTATTTAGAGAGTTAAATGCAAAAAATAGTAACATACTCTTATTGATTTGTTCTAAAATCAAGAAATTCCTATGGTTTTGGTCCTAAGAAAGTTGAAATGACTATTTTTCCCTTTTACTTTTAATTAATAAAATATTAAAACAAATATGAAAAAACATAAAAAAAATAAATTAAAAGGGCAAAACAGTCATTTCAAATCTTTCAGGGACCAAAACCAATTTTGTAGTTTTGTCAACAAAAAAAAATAGTAATTTTTATCATTTAAAACTTCAATTCAAAAACACTTAACCTCTATTCAGCATCACTTCTAGGTAGAAGGGTAAAATGGTCATTTACTCAATAAATAACCAGTCTATTTTGAACCAAAAAACAGAACAACAAGAACAAATGCAGACAGAGCTTCCACTAGAGCTGAAAAGTAAAAAAAACATAAAAAAATATGACAAGATCTTTATAAATGTAGTTGAATAAACAAAAAACAGAGGAATGATGCACAGATGATGATGAAGCAGAGACAAATAAGAAAGTAGATTCAAAGAAGAAAGGATGATTTTCATCCATGTTCCAAAGGTTAGTTTATAAATCGTATTTTTTTTTTCATTTTTAGCATTTTTAATGATCATTTAGTCTCGTTTAGATGGTCTATTCAGTCTAGAAAGACATCACTCCTTATGTTGTAACAGAGTTGGAAAGTCAATAAATCTTGCCAAGGTATAAAAAAAATATTAAAAATTGAATCTTGGCATACAAAAAACAAAAAAATAATATGTGAAATGTTGTGTGCATAATCTGGTAAATATATATATCATCAAGGATATTAATTATTATTTATTAAAATCAAATAAATCATTTTGAAAGCAAAAAGTAGGCTACTTACCACATTTTCTGGAAGAGATGTTGTAACAGACTTTCCAATATCTGATGCAGCCATAAGTTCATCAGGAGGAGGCTTTTCCTTAAAGACATCCCTACCCTTGGTTGCATCATCAGGTTCCTCTGGTTCTCTTCGGCTATTTTTATTTTTATAACATATGAACAATCATAAATATATGATTTTACTTTTACACAAAATATATATATATATATATATATATATATATATATATATATATATATATATATATATATATATATATATATACCTGAACAAATAGATTCTGTGTTTCTTAAAAGCACCGCATAACAAAGTAGGATCTGTCATGGGATCTTTGCTTTCATTCACATTTACAGCAGCAGCAGCAGGAATTTTTCGCACTTTTTTACTGCTTTGATCACCTTGATACAAAGCAATTCTTAAAAACCTGTCATTATTTTCCACCTTCCCTAATATTCTGGAAACTTTGTTTGTGTGCAGATTTACAATCTATCACCAATTTATGAATAAAACGTTAGAAAATAAAATCTTCGGATTACTGCATACACCTTAGAATTTGAGAAAAACAAAATGGCACAAGGTAAAATTTCTTACTTTAATACCAAGGAGAGTTGGATAAATAATGAAATTAGAGCTTTCATCAAATAGTGCATTTGGCTGTGGGACATTTTCTGTTTTTTCAATTTCTCTTTCAACTGCCATTCTTCTCCCAAAATCAATAGCTTCTAATCGATACAAAGGAACATCGCTTCTTTGAAGATCTTGAGCATTCTAAACAAACCAAAGTTAGGTTAAATCTTCAGAATAGTTAAGGATATATACGTTTAAATGTCATGAAACTGAGGGCAAAAGAGTAAATTTACTTACCTCAAGTGATTCATCATAGACACGTCTTAGTTTATCAGTTCTATACCAAAATATACATATTCTTCGATCTGGTGATGTGATTGCAAATTCTTTAATTTCATCATCAAAAAAATTAAGTTTTTTTAATTAAAATATGTTGATATTGAATGTTAGATACCTGTTCAGAATCACCCCACTGGCGGAAAGCAGAAAAGGATTGCAAACGAGTTCAAATATACTGGCCACCAACTGTGAGCCCAGGTCCCTCTACAATGAGAAAGAAAAATAGTAAATGAAAATGAAAATAGATTTATTATTTGTCTTATAAAAAAAAGATTTACCTGAGCCACATCATTCAAAAACCCCTCACGCACAAGACCACTGATGACCTCCATTTTTGATGTGACCTTCCTTGAAAAAACATAATAGAAAAATTAAGATTGTAAAAGTTTAACAAGAATCATGTATATGAGATACATCAAGATTGCATATGAAAGTGAATACGTGAGATCATGGGACAATATATAGTTAGATATTTATAAAATAACCAAAAAAAAAGTCGTTACTCTTTATGCAACACAAAACACACCTGGTTAGGCAATGCTCTTAGAGAAATGATCAATTCAGCAGGATGATCATCTCCGTCTCTACCTGCACGTACCTTTCCAGGTGTAGCATCTAAAACCCAAACCTTAAAAAATAATAACAACATCTTATAATATTATTTATCCAGACATCACTTAATGACAAGAAACAAAACAGGGCCTTACTCTTACAGGCCTTGCAAGTGGCTTTGCAGCTTGTTCGACCATGCTCAGTGAAACTGGATCATAATAATAAGTATGAAAACCAAGGAAAGAGAGCACTAGTATATTTTTAACTTCCATTTTGCCCCACCAGCTTTACCAACCTAATAATTATACACAAGTGAAATCCAAATCAAAATCTAAAAACACAAACTCAACTCAATCTAGATACAGAATACTTGAAACAAAGCTTAAGAAGTTTCGATGACAAAAGGCAAAAAGGAAGATCACTTACAGCAGCAACAGATTTGTTGTCAGGGTGATCTTCTTTGAACTGCTTTCTAAAGTCCTCCCTTTATAACATTAACAAGAGGAAAAATATTTAAACTTTGGAAATGGAAGTAAAACATGAAGGTAGTGATAAACGAAGAACAGCTACTAACATGAACACAAAGAAGGCGCTAGCGGGTCTCTTGGGTTTATTGGGATCCTTAGCTGCTTTCCCCTTGGCTGTAGTCTTCTTTACAGCCAACCTAAAATTACAACAAACAATTGTTAAAAAGTACCGAAATCATGATCCTGAGGAAGAACAAAAATCTAATTTCATTGAAGATGAAAAAAAATACAACATTAAACCCTAGCAGATGGTATGTTTTAAACATAGTTAGATTAAATCGTACTTGGTATCGGCTTTCCTCGTAGCACTGCTTGATTTGCTTCCTTTCATCGTTTGATCCTGAATGAAACAACCGAAACAACAAACTAGGTCAAAAATCGAAGCGAAAATGGTTGTAAATGAAAAAAATTAGAGTCGACATCGAGGAAAAAGAGGAAGAAAACATACCTAGTTAGCAAAAAATCTAGGGTTAGGGTTTGATTCGTTTGCGATTGGGGGATACTGGGGTAAGGAAATCGACTTATAAATGGCTACGATACGTTGGCAATAGAACTATTTGGGCGGGAAGATTTTCATTCCAAGAGGGCTTGATTATGTTCATGATTTTGGGCCCATTTTGGATAAAACAATGGGTCTTCATTGGTGGCCGTGGTGAACCAGAGAGAAGACGAGGGGTGGTGGGTGTCTAGGTTGTTGTTGAACAGTAGGGGTAGAGAGAGAGATAGAGAGAGAGAGAGAGAGAGAGAGACTTACAGTTGGTCGTGTATTACCTGCATCAAATTGAAATTAAGGGAATGTTGATAGGGCGGAGGTGGTGAATGAGATGTTTGGTGATACTGATAAGAAGGAGATCAAGTAGAGATCCGATGAACGAGATGTTTGATGATACTGAAGATGAAGATGACGGACCTAGGGCTTTTTCTTGCTAAGTAGAAGAGGCGGGGGGATTAATTTTGGGATTCAATAGGCGGGGGTAATTTTCGTCGATTTCATTTCCCGCCTAAAACGCGTGTTTCACTTAAAATTATAAAGCGACACATTCACATGACGCACATTTTATGAAAGGTGCCCTCCGCATTTCTTTTTTTTTTCTTTTCTGACACTAATTTTAGGGCGCGCAAAAATGCGTGCTCTCTATCCTTCAAATTTTGCAAAACTGACATTATCTTTTAGGGCACTTACAAATGCGCGTCGTCTATCAGCGAGTGTCATTGTTTGCGCGTCATTAAAGGGCTATTTTCTTGTAGTGATACGGATCATTAGCCCAAACTATAAGTGTTACTGATTTACCTAATTAGTCCCTTTTAATTTAATCAGTCTCTTTTGATCACTAAATTAACTCCAAATTAATTCTTGATAAATACTAATTAAATAATATGATTTCTCAATTAATATATTATACTTATAATATATTAATAAATCACAATTAACCTCTTTCTCAATTATCCATCCTATAAAACTACTATGATGAAGGCAACCCAAAAGGACCAAGCTACTATCGGATCAAGTACATACCAATTATAGTTATGGACTTAGACACCTAATCCAAAAGTATCTCACTTGGATAAGTCTAATAACTATAACTGCCAATGCAACTTCAAAATCCAATTAGCAATCGTACCTCTTAAAAGCCACTGTCGAACTCTGATCAAATAAATGACACATCCTTTAGATAAGGGATCATACAGTCCTCTGTTCTTTAAGATATCGTATGGACAAATGTTTTTGGATTAGGTGTCTAAGCCCATAACTATTATTGGTATGTATTTGACCCGAGAGTAACATGGTCCATTTGGGTTGCATGGCATCGGAACAATTTGGATAGACTTTTGTGAGAAGAGGATATTTACGATTTATTAATATATTATAAGTTCTAATATATTAATATAAAATCATATTATTTAATTAGTATTGATCAAGAATTAGTTTGAAATTAATTTTGTGATCAAAAGAGACTAATTAAATAAATAGGGATTGATTTGGTAAATCATTCATTCTTATAAAATGGGCTTATGATCCATAGTTCTTCATGTTGGGCTAAACACATGTAGTGACCTATGGATACTCCATGGAGGTTAAAACCCATGGATCATGAGGAATATGGAAATTCATGAGTTACATGGTGTAACCCTAATTGCACGCTATATAAGAAGCGTTTAGCTCAAGAAATTGGCACTAGTGATAGACCCATGAGGGCTAGCCGATTTTGAGTGTAAATAATCTTCTCTCAAGTTATTCCAATTGTTGGTGGTATCGTGTGAACCATTTGAGGCGCAACACTTGGGGCACTAAGTTCTTTAAGGTTCAAGGAATCAAGTTGTAACAAAAGGTATGTCATTCAACTATATTTCATATTGTATATACTCCATAATATGCAAGTTAGGATGATACCTTAGAAATTTTGATATTTGTATGTATAATAGAGAATACATAGATCCGAGGTATATAGGTTTGCATGTACACCATAGGAGTGTTAGAATGCTCAAACCTCAAGAAATACATGGAACATAGTCATATTTATTATCCAGCAGTTTGTTTTCCGATTTACAATTTGTTTGACATAGAGCATAATTGAACACATCAATTCAGTCCTGACCGGGCACGCCATATAAGTCAACACAAAATCATCGAGGGGACAAGATATCGTTTTTAATCCTCATATGATAAAAGGAACATATAAACTTTTACTTATATGCTTGTACTAACTACTTGTTAAATCATACACAATAATACGTTTATAACATCAAGTTACTGGTGCATTTTCATATTATCAATGAACAACCAACTCATAATCAACAACTCATATATATTGGTTTGAAGACTCTATGATATTATATTCTCACAATCAATCATGATAAATTCCATGAAGTGATTCATGTGAGCGTGGGTTTAATCAAATACTCAAATCTTATTTCAGGAGCACTCATGAACGTTACAACAAACTTTTGTTATGTCGAAACACCTTAGTCAATCTACAAGCCAATTCATGATAGTCTTGCCTCAATACCTACTTCCAAAATATGATCGACTATGGATAATTTGAATAATCTTATTATTCTGGAAATCAAAACATGCAAAATGAAACAATAGTAAAAAATTGACACATGATAGTAACTTTACTCATAAATAAAACTCTTTATTCAATCATCAATTGTTAATTACATTTTATATATTACAAGTTTCTAATAGCTATCTAATCACTAAAACTAGTATCGTCCTTTAGCCCAATACTCTTAGCATGTTGCAAGTGCTTAACCCTACTTAGTTCTTTTGTAAGGGGATTTGTTGGGTTCTCCTCTAACGATACCCTCTTCACTATGAGGAGTCCTTCTACCAGATGTCTAATCAAATGATATTTCCTATCGATATGCATGAATCTGCCATGATCCTTCGGTTCCTTGGTTAAGGTGATCGCACCCTCGTTAGCATAGAAATTTTCCATAGGCTCCTTTATTGTAGGTACAACTCCAAGGTCTTCAATGAAGTTCTTTAGCCATATTGCCTCCTTTGACGCTTCGCTTGCTATCATGTACTCTGATTCACACGTTGAATCAGCCACGGTCTCCTTGGAACTTTTACATGTTACTACTCCTCCATTTAGAGTAAATACCCAACTCGACTGAGAGCAGAAATTATCTTAGTAAGTCTGAAAGTTAGCGTGACTATACCCTGTCACTCTTAATTCATCACTCCCACCAAGGGTAAGGATCCAATCCTCAGTCCTTCATAAGTACTTAAGAATGTTGCTTATTGCAATCTAGTGAGCTATACTAGGGTTTCCTTGATATCGACTAACCATGCTCAAAGAAAAAGCCACATCAAGGCGATTACATGTCATAGAATACATGATCGATCTAACAACAGAAGCATAACATACTTGACTCATTTTTCCATCTCAGCATCAGTACTTGGACCCTGATTCTTACTCAGTTTAGTATTGCTTTGGATAGGCAATGCTCCTTTCTTGGAATTTTCCATGCTGAAATGTTTCAACACTTTGTCCAAGTAGGTACTTTGACTAAGTTCTATTAGTCTCTTACTCTTATTTCTTAAAATCCTTATCCCTAGAATATAAGCAGCCTCTCCGAGGTCATTCATAGGAAGCATTTCCCAAGCCAGGACTTAACCTCCTGCAAGGTCGGGACGTCGTTGATGGGTTTTGAGCACTATAACATCCCTATGGTGCACATACAACCCTAATGCTTTGGATCTAAGTTTTCTCAAGTTATACATGAAATTTCATTTTATCCAAAGCATATACCCTAGCTAGCATGCAATTGGAGATATACAACATAAAAACTAGTTAGATGAATACCTCTTAGTTGTAGCTTGTAGTTCTTGGACTTTCAATAGCTTAGTACCTCAAGTGTGATACCTCTAATAAGTTACAAGCACTAAAATCAAGAGGAGGCTTGTGAGAGAGAGGTTAGGAAGCACAAAATCGGCAAGGGTTTCACCTTGGAATGCATTGACCGATTTGGGGGGGGGGGTGAGGGGTTAAAATTAGAGTGTGGAATTCCTAGGGTTTCATACATGTAAAACCTACTACACTATGACTCTTCACATTTCATAGGCCCTTTGGACAAAACCTTCATGGATTCTCATATAGGTTTAGTCAATCCCTAATCAACATGGATCATTAGCCCAAACTAAAAGTATTACTGATTTACCTAATCAACCTCATAAATTTAATCAGTCTCTTTTGATCACTAAATTAATAACAAATTAATTCTTGATCAATACTAATTAAACAATATGATTTCCCAATTAATATATTATTCATATAATATATTAATAAATTACAAATAACCTCATTCTCAAATATCCATCGTATCAAATTGCTCCGGGTAAGGCAACCCAAAAGGACCATGCTACTATCGGGTCAAGTGCATACCAATTATAGTTATGGGTTTAGACACCTAATCCAATAGTTTCCCACTTGGATAAGCCTAATAAATATAACTGCCAATGTAACTTCAAAACCTGATTAGCAATCGTAGCTCTCAAAAGCCGATGTCGAACTTTGAACTAATCAATGATGCATCCTTTAGATAAGGAATCATATAATCCTCTTTTCTTCAAGATATCACGTGGACAAATACATGGAATAAAGTCATACTCATTGTCCAACAGTTTGTTTCCCGATTTCTGATTTGTTAGATATAGAACTTAATTGAACACATCAATTGAGTTATGACCGGTCCCGACACATAAGTCAAAACAAAATCATCGAGGGTCCCATGATATCGCTTTTAATCCTCTTAGGATAAAAGAAACAGATAAACTTCGACTTATATGCTTGTACTAATCACTTGTTAAATTATACACAA